CCTAATTTGTAAAATAGGAGTAACATTCCATGCTTTATGGGGAGATGATGTACCCTAAACATTTTGAAGCGATCTGATCCCATAATAGAGGAAGGCGAAAAATTCCCAAGATCGAACATATCCATTTGATGTACAAAACATGGAGAGACAAAGGTTAAACAACTTGCTGCAATCACACATGGAGGCAGGGGTACAGCCAGAAATTGAATCCAGACCTCTAAAATTACAGTCCAGGGTTTTAATCACAAAATCCTCCTTCTTCCTTGATTAAAACAGGAAACCAGAACACAAAGTATGCACTTATTCTGTAACTTCAACATATTACCACAAATATCTTAGAAAAAAATATATATTTCAAATATGGTCATCTCAGCCAAGTGTATATTTTGATGAAACAAAAGGCATGCATGTCACCCTGGAGGAGGTCCATCGTTGAACACCTGGTCCTCTTGGGCCTGAGTAAACACTGTAACTTCTGAGTTTGAGACAACCTTGTATTGGTTATAAAACCCATGTTTATGTGAATTTTAAGATAATCTTGTATAGTTTACAAGATTAAAAATGTTATTATTGGTGGCTGAACTGCACTGAGACCAAAGAGTATTTGCCACACCACCTGAGGAAAAGAAGAAATATGAGTGATGCTGCTGCGTGACAGTAAGGAAAGCATTCTTCCTTTTTAATATGATGTTGTGTACCTTTGGTTTGCCAGATAGATCCATTTTACAGAACTGTTTTCCCCCACAGCTACTGTCCTTTACCTGCAAGACCCCAGCCTTGGGCAGGGAGGCGGCCTCCAGGTGAAGTACTCTGATGACCCACTCCTTTTCACCCTCTTTTCCAAGGCCCCATATTCCCTTTTCCACCTTGTAATTACATTGAGATTTGTCACAGGATTAAAACATATTTGCCCCCATCATAAAGCTGTATGAATGCCTGTCACATCATGCAAAAGTTCCCCTTTGGGGTCACATAAGAGATGTGCTTTGGCTATATGATAAAAGCCATGGGATATGCAGACCCATAGACAATGAATTGCCCACCCCCAGCCTCAGGATTCCTCACCAATGTTTCAGTGCATATGTCTTACTAGTTTTTAAGGACATTCTGTTTTCCCTTGTTTGAAAGAACTGTTTTTTTCTCAACTACAATTGCTTCGTCACTTCTCTTCAATGGACTGAATGGACTGAATCTGAATTTTTACTGTTGTGCTAAACTACCTGAAGAAAATAAGACATGAGAGCATGCAAATTTATTCTGAATTATTAACACCTCAGAAATTCCTTCCCAAAGTAATGACAGTTTCTACTTGATAACAGTGTTTCTTCCCACCTATTCACCTTCTAAGGATCCAGCATACAGGCATCAATGACTGCAAACTCAGAACTGATCTTAGTCAGAGTTTGATAGAACAGGGACTTCTCAAAGTTTCTTAGAAAGCCTGGTTCCCCTGTGCAGGGCTCTGGCAGGAGATATACACTTCCTGGCATCCTGAGCAGACTGCAGAAGGGTCATGTGGGAGAAAGTGCAGCACTGGCAACAGAGCCAGTTCTGTTCACCTATACTTGTCATGGGCTGAGTTTATAGCTACTTCTTTCTGCCTGTACTCTGTTGTGCCTTCCTCACTTCTGCTAAAACCTCATCAGATTTTCCAGAAGCCCTTAGAGCCAACAACCTGTCAGATATCACAGGTTCCCTTCAAGATGGAACCACCACAGTCACAGCCTTAATGACAAATCTAAATAGCTTCAAACCAGGGATTTGCCCAATGGGTAAAATTCATTCAAGAGAAAAATACATTAGACTAGAGAACACATAAGTCTTTTAGAACATTTATCTTGTAAGAGCAACACCTGTAGAAGGGAAGGCAACTGTTTCTGCCCTTCTACTCTTAGACTCCAAGAGATTAACATCTGTTGCTTAATTTTATATCATACTAAAAATTTTCCAGTATTTCCTGCCCATTTATTATAAAAAAGCTAATAATGTTAATGATACACAAGGTAATAACATTATGCAGTGACAGAAAGGATTCAACCTGCTGGGCTGGCTTGTCCTCTGCTAGAAGAGTCCTCTAGTAACACAGTCCTTTGGACAGAAAAGGCTGGTCAGAGACTAGTTTTCTTTGTTCTGATTTTTTATTTTATTTCCTTTGTAAAATTTTTTTGTAATCGCTATTAATATTTTCAACAATTTTAATACTTTTGATAAATAAAGTAATTTGTAGGGATTGTATTTTTCCATTTCTACAGAAAAATCCCTAGAAAATTTTACAGATATGGAACCTCACAGGAAATAAAGACCTCTCTACCCTCTCAAAAAAACTATAAGATATATTTAAGATGTATATTATATATATATTTAAGACTATATATTTGGTTGAAAATTTTTACTTCTAAATTTTTATGGAAATTACTCAACTTCACTACCTGAAGGTCAGGGACATTTTTTGCACTTGCAAGTCTGACTGCATAATGCACATTTGATCTCTGGCAATCTTTAATTGCAGATAATTTCTAGAAATCCACAGCAGAACACATGGACTGCATAAAAATGCCTTGCTAGATGATATCTACATAGGTAATGGTTTTTATCCCTTAGTAATTCATTAGGTATAGTTTTAAACCAAGTTACAATGGGTTTAGATTTCAGCGCTTCCACTGAAGCATGTCTTTTTGGAAGCATTAATGCCAGGAGAAACAGCTCTCGGGTCGCTCAACACGAGACTGTGCTGTGCAGCCAGCAATTTGTTCCATGTGGGCTCCTTCCAAGCAGTTAGCTATTTCTTTTGTCTTTTCCCCCCTTTCCTCTTTTCTGGCTTACAAATTGACCTGCACAATTTTACAGAAAATATTCAGTAAAAAAATCATAATCACTTTCTGAAAAGAAAACAATAATACTGCCAAATTATGGCATTTTATTTGATGGACTAGGTAGGAGGCATGGAGTAGAGGAATATGGGAACAATTGTGGGGCATAAGAGGAGAAACAAAAGACAGTATCAAAAGGAAGGATAGGAACTTTGGAAAGCTGGGCAAAACCTGGTTAAGTAGGAAAGAGAAAAAAATTGAAATAGGAGCAGGCATGCAATGAGGCAAAGATCTGTAATCCCTGAAAATTCCTGGACTTCATCTGGTAAGTCTCTCACGGCTTCTCACCAGACCTTTGACTTGCGCTTGTTTTTCTCAAGTTTCAGCTTTCTTCTCAAACTAGTGGATACTAAAAAAAAACCCAAACAACCAACTACTATCAGCATACTCTTCACTTCACCTTTTCATGCCAGGTCCAAAATAATGATGGCACACTACTGCTTCCAGGTCCATCACCAATACCATTGGTACAAGACCAATCCAGAGGTGTCATAATCCAAATAACAGGGGGGTTTAAATTTTTATTATTTCTTTCTTTATTTTAATTTAGAGTTCAAAACAAGCAAGGGTTGAATAGTCAAGTATTCAAAACCTAGGCAAAAGCAGAATGAAAGAACCTTAATTCACTTCCAATTTGGGGGAGCACGTAATTAAGAAATATGTGTCACATGGTAGGGGGTTTTTTTCATTTTATCAATTGTAATTCTTTTTAATATGTTGATATTTGTAAAATATTAGTAAGTTAATGGTCAGTACAGGAGAAGAGTTTGGGAAATATTAGGGAAGCCAGAAGATAAAGATGAATTATTTGCTCAGTAACAAAAAGTGAATCAATGTAAAACTTGGTTCCCAGCTTTTCACCTTGTGCTCGGAGCTTGCTACTCTTCAGTGGCATTTGAGAACTGTTCTTTGAACTTCGGTTCAGTGCTTCACTATGCATATTTCAATTTGCTGTGTCTTGTACCAGTCTCTGCCCTCTGATCTCATAAAAGATCAGACAGCTTCCTGGTATCTCACTATTTTTCTCCTTTGTAGAGCAGGTGCAGAACAGTTTTCTAAAGTGCTGTAAGATCTGAAATAGGTTTTCAGTGGTTACAAAAACTATTATTTTTCTGTACTCTGTCATGAGCAGCTGTTTTTAATCTTCAGTAGTTAGCAATCAATTTTAAGAAAAATATGAAAAATTGTGAAAACCCTATAATGTTGAAATCCTTTAATTTCATTTACAGTTTCTATGCATATGAAATACAAGAATGTGTACCATGTGGTATTATTTTTATATATGTAAGACAACTGAGTGAGGTACATGCAAGATGGATGGATCAGTGGCCAGCCCACTGTAGTTATTGAAAGTGTTTCCACTCAAGCCATTGGGAGTTTAGAGATCACAAACACTGATCAATAATGTACTTCTGAAAAGCATCCACATGTCTTTACAAATTTGCTTTTACTCTTATTTTTAATTAGTCCATCACCAACACTAAGTTTATGTTATTAACACATAAAAAGGCCTCCCGCTGCACTCCACACACCATTCAACTGCAGAATATATTTCAAGAAATTACACAATACTCAGTATATAAATTAAAACTAACACATAAAACAACGATGATGAAACAGAACTGATCTATTTTCATCGTTATGGCTGGATCAGCAAGTAAGCCCAGGCAGCTAACAAAAATCACCAAATCACCACCATAGTCAAAATTACACTAACAAACAGAATTCCAGTTTTGTTTTATCTGACTTTTCAAGTTATAATAATATAACATGGGTAAACTTACAACTGCAGCAACCTAAGCCCATTCATTTTTAAGCACTCTTCAGCCCATACTTGCCCTGTAAACAATTACTGTTCAAACATCATGACTTTGTGGTATTTCGCTTGTCCAAAATATGAAATAAGCAAGCAGAAGTTGCTCAAGTAAATTGAATCAAACCAAAACCCACTGTAACATAATGCTATCCCTGTCTGAAAAAGCTTCATCCATTCTGTTAGTTTTCAATCAAATTACATATTTTTAGCAAGCACATTGTGGTTGCAAGCAGTGTTTACTGAGTTTATGAACTAAATTCTTACAGAACAAAATTAGTGAGACTGCATTAAGTAATTTTCCAGAAAGTACTTACTGAAGGTTGTGATTTGGGCTGTTTGTTGGACCTGTAAACATAAAACAAACAAACATTGCTGGCAAGTTTGGCTCAAGGACAACAGAATTTAAAAAATCAATAGCAATCTGAAGGAAACTTTCTCTTTAAGGAAGACTTGTCTCAATATTCAAACAAACCCCACTCTGTTCCTGCACACAATTATATATTGCTATTTTTGAAGCCTCAAATAAAAATCACATGAATTTATTGTCTGCTCAGGCAACAACTTGAGTGGACTTAATTTTTGTCAGAAAATATCTCCTGCCATAAAAACACAGGCTGTTAAAAAGACAATGTGTTATCTTGACACATCACTTACCTCTTAATAAGCCCCATCTGAGCTTTATTATCAGAGTTTATGGCATGACAAGGGCATGCTCTTAACCTTTGTCACAGCGGGAACAAGGTCCAATACGCAGCACTTAATGAATCACTACAAACTAGACTGTGGAGTTAGCTATTTTCGTTACAAAATTAGAAGAAATTTTAGGGAAATTTCACTAGAATTTTTTTCCCCGTTGCTTCAGGAGCAAACTAAATAAAAGCTTGCCTTCCACACTGGATGATTAAGTGTCCAAAATGCAATATAAGTACTTCTTGAAAGGTATGGTGTACCTTCAGCTGTCAAAGGGCAGAATTTGAGGTTTCATATAGCAGTACAAATGTGATATTCCACAAGGATGGCCTCAGCACTAGGAACATCACATAGAAAACTGCTTCTTCTTCTTCTCTTCAGGTTTTTTTTTTTTTTACAGACTGAGTTCAGCAGTTTGCCTGAAAACTCCAGGCAATGAAATATTACCTTTTTGTACTTTATACTGGCACTTCTTTAAAATTTCTTCACTACATATTTACAGACCTTTCCATCTGTATTTACTTTCTTTTATTACCAGTAAATGGTTATCGAGTTCAACCAAGAAGTTCTGCACTGGGAGAGATGCCCCAGGCAATGGCTTTATTTATTTCCTTTTGTGTTGAGAATTCTTCTTAAAACATCAAATTCATTTCTCGTTATGCTATTGTGAAAACTAATACCTAGTCTATAAAGCAGTCCGAGTAATTATAAAAGCCAGGAACTCACCGAGCCTTACAAACAACACTCCTGTTGCAGTTATCGTCTTCATCCCATTTGAAGCCACGCACTGGTAGTACCCTGTATCCGTAGTATCCAGATCCTGGATTCTCAGACGGGAACCATAATCTGTTTTTCTGATGATGATCCGTCTTGGCTCCTGAACCACTGGAGCATCGTTTTTTAGCCATCTGACACTTGGAGATGGATTTCCTGCCACCTTGCAGTGGAGAATTGCTGTTTGTCCCTGGACTACAGTGATATTGTTTACTGGTTCCAAAAAGGTCAGGAAGTAACCTAAGAGGGTAAGAGGTCAGAAAAGATCAAACTTCACTTTGGTTGTGATAAAAGACTGCCCAAAGGCACATTTTTAAGAGATTATCTTATAAATGGTTTCAATTTTCTTTCAAGCATATACTCCAAAAAAAATGCAATTCACTGTCCTAGCGACACCACGGCATCCACTCCAATTTGTCTTTCATAATTGTTTTCATGTTTGTCTGCAGGTAGGTAGGCAGAATAGAAAGACAAGCTTGAATTAATACCATTACAATCCTATCTCCCTTTGCGGACACCTATTCTGAAGCAATAATACCTTTTTCTGGTTAGTTTCTACATCTCTTGGGAAATTGTTAGTGCTGTAACAGAAAAATACACCCATATTCCATAAAAGAGTAATCTCAGTTGCAACCATGTTAGAATATCATTATAATTTTACTACCTAATCTTCTTACATGGTCATATATTTGCCTTAAAAATAACTAAAACTGGAAAAGTTACTTTTAGATATTAATTTGACTTACCAGGTACTTATCTGACCAGAAAAACTTAACATAAACCTGATTTGGATAGGTTTATCTTACAGTTGAATTTTAAATATGATAAACCTTACATTTAATTTAAAGAAAGGATGTCTCAATTGCAGAAGCAACCTGTGATGCAGAGGGCATTTTTAAATTGATTATAGGCTGCCATTTTTTACATCAAGTACTAAAATAGCACTATATTGGACAAAGAAAGGTCTGTATGGATATTGAGAAATCAGGTTTCATGGGTTTAGTTTTATAAATGGAAACTAAAAGCATTAATTTGTGGTTTGTTGAAAGCAAAGGGCTCATCAAGAAGCACGTATGCTGCATTGGTGATCTCAAGAGATTAAAAAAATAAATAATTGATGGAAGAACACTGTAAAAACTTGGCAACCAAAACTTCTGTAGGATATTATTTTAAAATTTAATTTGGTTTTAGGAGTCCTGCCACTGACAGACATCACACATTGAAAGCTTGAAAGCACGTAATTCCACTGAAATAATAATGCGATTGTCAAAACAAGTAAGAAAAGTATCTAGCTGTCATGTTCATGTTTATTTTGATTAATTCACACCACATAGACACAGAGCATGAGGAATACTTCATATTACATTACATTTTTATGTCATCTAGAGCCGAATATCAAATAACTTTGATGGATGTCCACATGAGCCATTTCCTATCAATTAAATTATTTTGCAGTTGTTTAACTAGAAAATAACATATTACTGTGCAGGAATCTAACACCAGTAATGCAGTGATCAACATTCACAGTCTAATTGCTGAAATACCTTAAGAAAATTGATGCTCTGCTTTGATTTACATTTGACATGACCATGAAAATCAGTTCCTCTGTAATAGCTAGGTACGGCACTGGGGAGGGGAGTGGTAGAAACATCAGAATATAATGAATTTGCAAAGTCAGATTTTGCTGGAAAAATGGCTTTTCCCAAGCATTACATTGTTTTCTACCATTGGCCTTTCAAAAGAAATCCTGCTTTAAGGAATAATAATAAAATACAATGTAGGGAAGTGTGAATTTAGTATGTCATAAATAGAAAATGAAGTAAACCCAAATATATATAATCTCCACATGACATTGCAAACTTACAGGCAAATTATTTTGTCATCCTTTTTACTCATAAAATAATAAATTAGTCTGTATGTAATTTTCCATTAGTTTTCCCTATTGTTAGCCTACAAATCTCTAGTAGCCTTTAAAACACTTTGACAGAACACAAAAAACATTTCCTTTCAAAGGCCTGATAAAAAGGGAGAAAAAGTACATAAATGGTTCCTGTAATGTCATGCCACAACAATATAATTTGTTGAGGTTTCCAGTTACATTTCATAGCTTCAGTATTAAAATTACTAGGATGACATTCTGGCAGGGAATAGAAAAATGGTAAATTATCTTGTTGATATAGGGAATAGAAGCAATTGATTAAAACTATCACAAGCTAACATTCTACATATATAAGCATTTCTAGCAGCAAGAAAGCAAGCATGTTCAATCCTACCACAAGTTAGAAAAGGAATTTCCATGGCTATTTCACTCTTAGCTCATTATTTAGGGAGTACCACAACTTATTTTGCCACTTTTTCATAATCTGTATGTAATTCATTCTCATCAGCCACATCAAAGCAGAGTATGCAGTCAGGAAGAGAAGAGGTAAGTTTGCATTTATTTGACATATGTTCAAAAAAGAATTGTCATACTCAATAATACTCTTCAAGTCAGAAGAATCAATTTATGAAAAGAAGTAGAAAAGTGGAAAAGCTGAAAAATTCTTCTAATTCTAGCAAAAAAACTAGGGCACTGAGGAAGTGCAAGGGCATCTGGTCATGGTAATGGTGTTGAGCTGTTGGGTGGAAGAGGAGTGGAGCGACAATGTGGGGCCATGAAAGCACCAACTTAAGGAACAGTTCTGGCAAAATACAGATTGGATGTGTCATCTGCAAGTCAGGTAGGAAATTGGCTCATGGGCCACCATGGGTGATCAATGTTTTTTACTCAGGCTGGCAGCCTGTCACAAGTGGGGTCCTCCAGGGATCAATACTGTTCAACACAAATGCCTTGGAAGATGAGATTGGAAGCACTCTCACCAAGTTCGCTGATGACACCAAACTGGGTGGTGAGGTGGGCAGAAGGGACAGCCATCTTAGAGAGAAACCTGGACAGGCTGAAAGAGGGAGCAAGCAAGAATTTAACATGGACACATCCAAAATCCTGCACCTGAGTCAGAATAATGAAAGAGCCCAGTACAGGCTAGGATCTGTGTAGCTGTTTTCAGCCTTGCTGAAAGGAAGCTGGGGGTCCTGGTGGATGAGCTCAATATGAGTCAGCAGAGTGCCACTGCAGCAACGAAGGCAAATTGGATCCTGGGCTGTGTCCACAGGGACATTACTAGCAGAGATAGAGATAGAGACATGATCATCCCAATCTACTTGGTGCTTGTTAGGCTACACATGCAGTATTGTGTCCACTTCTGGTCCCCACAAATCAAAAATGACACAGAAGACTGAAGAGTGTCCAAAGGAGGGACACAAAGATGGCCAAAAGGCTGGAGAACCTGCCCTACGAGGAAAGACTTGAAGGAGTACCTCATTGGAGTTTTCCAGTACTTAAAAGGCATCCACAAAGAGGACAGAGACTGTCTCTTCACAAGAAGCCACATGGAGAAGAAAAGGGGAAATGGGTGCAAGTAGTATCAGGAGAAGTTTCATCTCAATAATAGAAAGAAAATTTTTGCAGTGAGAACAATCATTCACTGGAAAACAATGTCTCCAGAGATGTAGTGGAGTCCTCGTCACTGGGGGTTTTCAAGATATGACGGGACAGGGTGCTAGATGATCTTGTGTAGGCTCCCTTTCCCAAAAAATATTGGACCAGATGATCTTCTGAGGTCCCCATGGTTCTATCGATGATTCAGCAATCGTGGGGGTGGCCTGAATATGCTCACACAAGGGAGGCAAGGGAGACAATTTAAGGTCTTTTTTGAGAAGAAGTAGGGCTACTTCCAGCATGGAGCCAACACCAAGGTACAGTCATTTGACTCAGAGATGCTCCTGATTCCTAAGAAGTGAAAGAAGCAGAGAAGATGCTTTTTTAAAGGTGGGGACAATTCAAGTGCCAGCCAATTAAAGTTGACAGTCAGGGACTGTGGTTCTTCTACCTCTTCAACATACTTTTTCTTCTTAACACAGGAGTATATGAAAGGTCTACATCATTCTTGAACCACTGGCCAGCTTTTGTGCTATTGGTCAGCTTATAGATTGCTCAGACACTTACCTCTATTTCACTTTTCCTGATTTAAAATGAGCTGGGCTGAGTCTTCACTTCATGTTAGTCATGAATATTGCATTCAAATGAATTTGGATGAAAAAACATACTAAATTTACTTATTAGGACCAACAAATATTATTAACTCAAGATTAAATCCATGCTAGAGCTTTCTGTTTTACCAGTTAAACCAGAGTTACTGTAGGAAGTAATTTGGTCCATAATTTTTAAGTAATCCAAAATATTTCATACAAATTTATGAATCAGATCCTATTAATAACTAGAACAAAACTATTGCCACTAAAAGCAATGCCAAAGGTTTATGGATGGATTCAGACCCGGTGTGATTAGACACACTTCCCCTGAAGTCAGTGTAACTGAATCAATTTCCTGCAGGTCAGAATTTGGCTTTAGTTCATTATTTCTCCTGCCAATTTTACAGATGTTTTCTGCAAATTTTTTTATTACCCTGTTATTACAAATCAAGTAATAAATATTTTAACCTACTGAATTTTGAAGCACTTGTGTTTTCTTCGAAGTTCTGCAGAGCAGCTTAGGAGCAGTAGGGCAACTCCCTGCCTATCCACTCTCTCTGTCCATACCCTGAAGTGCACACTCTGTTTGCTAGTTTCATTTCCTCCCTGAGTAATGATTGCTGAAATCTGGTGTTTATATACTTACTGAATCTGAATAAATTGTATGACAGAGTGGGCAGCCATTTGTTGCGCTGCTCTGTTATTTGTTATCCACTTTAGATAAACCATAATTGCAAATCTTTCAAAGTAGAAAATTTAACCAACCATGTTCTTAAGAATGTTTTCCTTAGTTAATTTCTGTGGTGATAATCAGCAGTTACTTTTTGTGATGTACGTCACACCACAAACACTGTGCAGATGCCAGTTTGATGCAATGTGCTGGGAAAAAAACAAACTGTTTCCCAGTATAAATTGGGACCTCAACAATGTGCAAAGCATACTTTTTCCAACACCATTCTTTTTCTCTCTTAATAAGTATTGGTTTGGACAGGTAAGGAGGAAAATGAAATGTGAAGGCACTAGAACTTATATTTAACTTGTATCCTATATTTTGTTATGCATCTGTCAGCTAGAATTTTTTAAAACTTGCACAGATTTGTTAATTTGTTTTAATACTGACATACCTTTGAAACAAAGAATAAAAACTCTCTATAAAATATTTGGGGCTT